GTACTTCTACTTATTTCGAAACTATTTTATTCAATATGAAAAAAAAAAGGAATTCAAGTGATGAACGAATCAAAATCAGTTGATGAACAAAATAACCGGCTCAGTTTATGAACAAAATAACCGGTGAAGCAACATCCTGAGGCTAATATCCTCGTTGCCCTAAGGTCTTAAATTATTACTCTGATCATAATATTTGATAGTGACACATTCAAGCATTCAGGCCAATTTAGAACCTGATCGCTGATCAGGAAGGAGATATCATCAAAGAGCATTTTCATTAGGAGTATTGTAATGTTGCCACCTCACCTTATAGAAACAAATACAAATACAATAATTGTATTGTCATTGGCCAAACTCAAAAGTTAATTGTTTCACAAAACCTACTTCCAACTAATTAAGTGGACATTTGTGGTTTTTTATCAGTATGATAATTGGACCAATGCTATCAAAATATGTTTATTCAAAAGCTCAAGAATCATACTTTGTATATGAGAAAAAATCAATTCAGATCCAGAGCTGTGAGTCCTCGTCACTCTATCAACAAACCTATGATCAAACTGCTTCAATGTGATGTCAAAAGTTATATGAAATTTTACAAGATATAATGACAAATTGACCATATATGCAATAGGCGATTCAAAATAAGCAAGAGTCCCTCTTGCCGATATTTGAGTAACTAATTGAGAGTACATTGGTGGTTTGTTCACATTCATGTTTCCATGCATTTTATATGAAGTTGAGTGTCAATTATGATTTTGTCCTAGTTCGAATTATTCAGAAGCTTAGTCACTGCATTTCACAGTACCTTATTGATAATTTCAATTTTTGTGATGTATTTTTTCATCAATGTGTGTTTCATTGTTATTTATATACAATTTCACTTGCGTTTTAAATGTCTTCGCCTATATATGTTTGAATCTCAATATCACTGTTTCAGTTATTTAGGAACCTATTATTACTATTATAATGTTCTATATTTGTGTGTGCTGCTGTGTAACCCTTTCTGTTTTTTGACTTACCCTATAACCCCTGTAAGTTCTAATGGATTGATTGGTTGATTATTTGTTCTAGAAGTAGGAATATAGTGTCCAATGACGCAAAAATTAGCGCAAGTAGCTGTAACTGCTTATCCAACACAGACGGAACAATGTGAAATTTCGATTTTTTCATGAAATGTCTCTGTAAATAGTGGTGTTCATATTTCCATAATGAAATTCGTGTTTTTCTGACAAAAATTTTGAAAAAAAAACAACACATGATTAGTGCAATATTATCCGTTTTTCAGAACTCACATCTGGGAATGAGATTACACTGATTTCAATCTTATGAGAAACCTAACAATAATGATTCAAGATACTCTACTGTAAAATTCAAACTCAGGAAAAATCAGAATGACCACTAAACCTTCAATAAAATTCATGAAAACCTAATATGTTAACAAACATTCAATGTAAAAAAATGTAGTGCACCTTTTTTTTCGAATGTAATTTTTAACCTCTTCTCGCGGACAAACGGTACATTTTGGTAAATAAATAAATTGGGTCCAATCAACTTATTTTGACCTCTACTACACGTGGTAGATCTGTGTCCCAGTAATTTTGGGACACCCTGTAGTTACTTGACTATTCACAATTTTGAATCTCCTATAGCTATAGGTTTCATTTTCTTGAGCCTTCTTAGGTTAGCAACAATCTGTCATTACCGTCATTAGTGTCGGCAATGTTGATTGTCATAACTGTCAGAAGCAGAAGCAGAAATATTGTTAGTGTCAAATGTAAACTCATAATCTATATCCAGTTGACATAATCAGCAATATTTGAAATTGTCATCAGGAATGTGTGGAATATTAAGCAAAGTGAAGTCAAGTATTTGAATTATCCGCTTTCATTGACAGTAATGACAGCTGAGATTGATTACATCAATGACGCCAATAACAGATTGATACTGATCTAATAACTCTCAAACCGATGCAACCGATAACAAATTTATAAAATAAAGTGATGTCAAATGCTTCACTATTCAAATGTTACAGTTTTTGATACATTGATTGACTGGGACAAGGAAAACCACAGCATCGAAAATCTGATCACAACCGCTGAACAGGTCATAGGCCACTTCAGTTATTGCTCACCTACACAGTATAACTTGTCGGAAGGTTACAAACATGTCCAAGAAGAGATTAGTGAGAATACAAACGAGAAATCATTCTCCAACATACTAGACTAGACTAATGTCCTTTATTCCCACCAGAAGAACAATCATACTTCTTTCCAAAGTGGAATATTATTCATAATTTGACTTTCACATACACAAGGAGTCAGAAATGAAGATCAATCGGTCAACTATACCGGATTATTCACGTTATTCCACACGAATCATTGTGGCTAAAGAATTTGATTGTTTGAAAGTGGTTTCTTGAGGATGCCTATTAGCGCTATAGTTTTCTTAAATTTTGCGCTAATAGGTCCCTATTCTTATCCATCTTGAGAAAAACTTTCGAACAATCAAATTCTTTACTCGCAAACGATGAAAAACCCGGCATATTCCTTGAACTAAAATAATTTGACAATTCAATTTTGGGCATCCATATTCGAAGTTTGAAATTTCAAATAGTTTTTTCCATTAACTGGAGCATTCTTAATTTGGTACAGTGCTCTAAGGTAACAATTCACATCTTTCGAGACAAAATAAAACAATAAATCAAAAAACAACCGTTCAGTACTGTGCAGCTTTTTAGTGCCTGGTTCAGTGATTTCGCATTTTTTTTATGGAGATAATCAATCATTTTTTATTACTGTTTGCCTCCTATGATATTTTCATTAGCTGATTAATTTTAGAGATGATCAGAGAATAACTGGTACTTGATTTATGAAATGAATCATTTCCTCAAAATTCAATAAAAGACAAAGAATAATCCAAAATTGATGATTTTCACAGAAAAATCAGGGAAGTCACTGGGGTCAGGAGCATTTCTCGATCACTCAGATTATTTCATAGGGGGTTGATGATGTCAACTCTTCAATTCTTCATTCACTAGGAGCAAACACTTTTCCATCGCCATAAGAAATTAGATAACAGAACATATAGTGGGAAAAAGGACATCGGCTACCAGTCATCTCGTCATATAGCCCGAGTTCCCGCAAAATCTTTGTTGTCAGATTTATTCACAGATGAGGAAATTTTTCATTGTATCATTTCAATGTTCGTTATTCACAAAATTCACACCTGCCGGGTCTAGCAAAAAAAAACTTGTCAGGATTTTTTATGCGAATATCAGGAATGTTTGCGCTAAACTCTTCTGCCGATGATGTGGAGATGTATGCAGGATGGGGTGAAATGACGACAGGAGTGTCATTTTTTTGGTTTATTTAGTTTCTGAACTACCCTTTTCAAGTCTTGTCACTCCACCCAGTCACCTTTTTTCAATTCCAAAGAAGGCCGTGGGAATGAAACCCACACCGAGGTATGACTTTTCAGCGAAATCATCGCGCCTTTGCGTTCATCGCCACCTAGGCGACAAGAGTGTGTCATAATAGATAAATCCTCAGAGTAACCAATTAAGATAAGGAATTGATTTAGCTATTCTCCTCTGTTTTCAAATGAGGCCTATTTTATACATGGTGATCTATGTAATAATGGAAACTATCTTTTGCCCTCTCTGAATAAGAATACTCACAACCATTAGATCTACAGAAGCATAAAAATGAAACCTAATAAAATCAACGACTTTCTGCAATACCAATATCAAACAGAAAAACAAACGGCTGTTTACTTGAGGTCACGGTCACTGTGTCAGGTGCTGCCAGTATGCAATGATGACGCAGTGAGGAGGTTTGACCGAATTTAATATTTCGCTAGTTATCGGGAATTTTCTCAATCATAATACTGTTAGACATACCAGCTTTCCCTTGACAGGAATATTTTTATATAACATTGTCTCATCAAGCTATATCCTATATTATTATAAAGTCTTATTGCAGTTTTATATGTCTTTGCCTATATATGTCATTCTGCATTTGATTTATTTGTCAATATCAATATAACTGTTAATTAGGATCCTATTATTATCACTATTATTTTGTGTTATACTTTTTTGTGCTGCATTGTTGACTTGTCCTATAACTCTTGTAAGTTTCAAAAGATGGATATTTTCTTTCACTCCTCACTTTTATTCATTGTAGTGCTGTGTTGTGATTTACACAATGATCAAGTGATTTCAAACTCCCAGCTTATTTCTAAAGACAGAGGCATTGACGATGACATTAGAGTGAGTAACAAAATCAGCTGATAGCTGTTTGATAATTTATGCAAATCGAACATTTAACATGCCCAGAGGAAGAATGTAGAGAACCAACCAATGAATTTGACAAATGAGAGGTAACGAGCAACTAGCAGCTAATGGTTGAGTAAAACTATATTTTTCTTTCTTGCACATGTAGGTATACTGATGATCCACTCTTTACTGCACGTTTTTCCATGCTTTGTACAGGACGATTAGGCATAGGCGGATCTAGGAGTTCAAATTCTTAGATCTTTGGATTTACAAAAATCGAAAGTGTTCGCTGTTTTTGAAAGTGACTGAAAAAAGAGGCATATCAGGAATGACTCCCAAGTGTGATAATACGGAGGGATGTTATGTATTAGCACCGCCTTGAGCAAGGTAGTCTTGATTTTTGTAAAACTCCATCCGATGGGGACAAACCATTGAATCATTCTTTGCATTCTTATTAGATCACCTTGTATTTTTCCCACCCCTAGGAATATTTTTCTATCATCATAGTTCCGTAGAACAGGAGAACTTATTTCGGAAGCGCAAGATTTTCATTCTTATAAAAATCTAGTCATGATGGCAAGCATAACTGTAATACTTGTGAAAATTTTGAAAACCAAATCATAAATAATGTCATTTGGTTTCAGCTTTGCACAATTACTCTACATCGAATATATTATTATCAAGTCCAGAACCAGTCACGAACTTTGGCAGCTTACTTCACTTCTTTGACATTTTAGCTGATGTTGGGATCACCAAATTCTCGTATTGCAATGTAAATTCAGATCAATAATGCATGAGAATTCATGAACAACTAGTTAATAAAAATGAAAAAACTCCCTTAGTAGTGAAATACCAGTTAATGACTAGGTTCTAGGACTAGTGACGAAAATATCAACCCAACTGAGAAGAAACCCAACAACAAATCTCCCGGGCTAAAACGACACATCATCAGAGTCCGCTCGAGCGCTAATCACAGATCTGTCACCCCCCCTAACTGTCCCCGTACGCCGGCGCCAAAGTCCTCGACAAGTAACAATCGCTCGGATACATCTCCGCAGGCTCCAAGTGACACACCACCGTCTTGCCGTCTAACACAGCTGCCAGCGAGCGCGCAGACGCGTTGCCGTTACGTCTCCGGTACGTGTCCGCGCAGCTTTCATTCCCCGGGCTGTACGGAATCAGCGGTCGGTGATCTCCGTACGACCTCGAGGACTGTCGGCTCATGTCCGAGATCTGGATCTCGTTGTGGTCGATTTCTTCGTACACGGGGTCCTCCGAGAACTCTCCTCGGAATATCTCGGTGTAGGTGTGGTTGCCCCAGGGAGTCGGTCGGGATTGCTCGCTCTTCTTCGTGGGGTCGTGCTGGATCATCTGGTGGCACAGGGGGTCCTTGCTGTTGAGGGTGAGGTTGTATCCGGGGTCTATGGCTACTGTGTGCGAGCGAGGCGAGTCTTCTTGTTCGGAGCCTCCGTGGCCGGAGTCTCGGCTGCACGACTTAAAAGAAATGTTCTGGAACGGAATTAGAAGTTAGTTCGGGAAAAACAGCGATGAAAATGTTATATTTTTTCTACTACTACTACTACTACTTACTATAATTATAAATTTGCTACCCACAGTGATAAGAAAAATGTCCATCCCATGTTATACCAACTTGAATATAATGCATATATATATTTATGTGTATATAAGGGATGTTCTCCGAAGATGATAGGGATTATCTAGAAGTCCATGTTTCTCTCAAAGTGGAGTAATGGGATCAAAGTCAATGTTCAACAATGTCGTCTCTGATACATTATTGGTGTATGCAATGAAGTACATATCAACTTTTGTGAAAGTTAAATTATATTATATAATTTTTATATTTCATGAGCAATTCTTACATGACAGAAATGTCTGAGAGCATTCGGAAGTGAAATGGTTTCTCGAAGGGTGAAGTTGTGTGTAGGTACTTTGTAATATTCGGAATATTAACAAAAACGAAGGATATACACAGACTTTATTATTACGAGAAAATTCTCAAACGTTTTCGGCTACCAGCCATCATCAGGAGTGATTTTTGTCAGTCCTACAGTCTAAAATGTACTTAGTTTTCCTTGGAAACTTGGATTATCCAATATTGAGAAATGTCCTTTTTGTGCTTCAATCCTCTGTGAATTTAAAAAAAAAATACTACTGATGATGGCTTGTAGCCAAAAACCTTGCGAGAATTTGCTCGTAATAAAGTCTGGTGTGTTATAGCCTTCGTTTTTGTTAAAATTCTGAAACGATTTTCAACCTTCCATATGTTACTATCATCAAAAATAATCTCAATACCTTATTTTTCAGTTGATAGACTTTTCATTGCATCTCACCAATGTATTTTATCACAAGTATGATATGAAGAATCTGAAGTACCGGACGCTAAGTGATATAGTTACTGAATAAATGCATAAATATTCTCCTGATTTCCAGCAACCTTAGTTTCAGAAAACTGTCGAAACTGAAAAGCTACATCCTGTAGGAATATCAGCACAGAAAACGTAGTAAATTAGGAGTTGAAAGAAATATGCTGATTACTTGAAAGTTATATACTTAATATTCATCAATATTTGTTATTCTTTAGGTGATTTTTAGTCTTAGTTATCACCTTTGAACAAATATTTTTCCCGTCATGTGACAGACATTTTTCTTTTCACACAAGATCCATACTACTATTTTTCAGCGATTTATTATAAAAAGCCCTTCAAGAAGAAGATGAATAATAGACCATTATCATTTTGTGAGGGAGTCTCCCGTGAGGGTAGTGTAGGTCGAATTCTGGATCACCCTATATAGCATTTTTTTGCTGATGACTTCATTCTCCCCGTTGAAATACAAATGTATTGTTTCATCAAAATTATGAAGAAAGAACAAAATAAATATGTTTAATTGATGATCCATTTTTTCGTAAGTGAAACCATTATTTTGTTTCATCATTTCAAACCCCAGTCCTATCAACAATTATACAGAGCGTTCGATAAAGTGAACAAAAACAATGGTACCTAGTGACGGGAGGAAAAACGACGATTTTTCCTGCTATAATGCCATGCTGCATAACATTGAATCACATTCTCCCAAAATATCGGGTGATTCATGAAAAGACTCACATAGTCAAATGGTGAATAGGGGAAATCGAGACGAGCTGATGTATATATATGAAAACATTTTTTGGCCATCCATGACGAAGATACATGTGAAATTGCCATATAACTTTGAAGGCCGATATTTCAGAAATGATTCATCGTAATTTGCTGAAATTTGGCAGCGACGTGTCTCTATTGAAACTAATGGCATGTTATTATGAAAAAAAAACGGGAAAAAATTATGTTTCATTATTATATCGAAAAGGTTCACTTCATCTTAACTTTCAACTGAATTCATGTAAATTGATTTTTAGTACATTTTTGTTGGATATAAATTATCAGAAATTAGTAGTTGAGGAATAAAACACAGTTCTGAATTTTTGATAAATTGAAATATTAGTTTCTGATCGAAATTCTAGATAGGTAAATATTATTATTCGTGACCTTGTTTTATGAATTTTAATTGAAGTTATTATGAAATAGTAGGCACTGCTTTTCATTGTGTGACGTGTCGTTTGTTGATAATCCGAACTGACCCACTAAACATGATAGTACATAACAAACATATTCTTCAGATGAAAGTTTTGTGAAATTATGGAAATAACATTGCGATAATGTCCTTCTGATGTGTCCAACATGAAGTAAAACGTTTATGAGACGTTGCATCAATATTGAAATCAATATTATTAGATAATATTGTAACATGTCGATTTAATATTATTCAGATATATCCCAGACAGAGTTTTGTTATGTCATTTTCGTTTCACCACCTTATACTGTAGCTTACATGTATACAGGGTATAAGAGGATAATATATTTTTTTCTACGGCAAAGTAACCTTGTCAACTGTCAAAAGTCGATTCAATTTCTTTCCAGCCATTTTGTTTGTTGTCTATTATGGTAAACAGCTCAATCAGTCGTGTGATCCGTGAAAATATTGATTTTCAGCTATTATTCCTAGTTATCAAAGTAACTTAAAAACTAAACAAGTCTTGGACTGAAACAAATTCGAATGAAAATATGAATTGCTCATGATACATACTTAGATTTCCTGTATTCTGTATTCCATAAAATGTGAAGAAGTAGGAGGGATTCGTAAATACGGATTGTTTTCATATTTCACGAATTACAAAAATAATGGGCGTTATATATCATCGCTAGAAGCAGAACATAGTCAGAAAAGAATTTCAAAATCAGCCAGGCAACTTCCAAAAACTCGTATGTATATATTTACCTATTACTTTTCAGAATTCAAGACAATATGGTCCAGTAAGAGATCTCTCTGGATTATGCAGAGTCATATACCTAAGAAGCAAAATAACTAAAATGATATTCAGAAATATTGTACAGTACGACTAATAATATGTATCTAGAATTTCGATGAAAAACTAACATGTCAAATTATCAAAAAATTAGAACTGTTTTTTTCTTAACCACTGTTTTCTGTCAATTTCTATCCAACAAAAATGTACAAAAAATCAATTTACATCAATCCAGTTGGAAGTTGAGAGTTATCAGCTAGATGAAAATTGAAAATTCATTGGAACATTTTTGTTTCATATTTTTTCATTGAACCGGTCAAAGTGTGCCGTGCATCCATAGAACGGCTAGGCTCTGGAATTCATTGCCTGAGTAAGTATTCCCAACAACGTATAATCTCCGGAAGTTCAAAAAAAATTCCAATGCCTACCTCCTCTCCCTATCCTCCCTAGGAACGCACGATGTTATAGGGATTCCCTTTCGTGCGCTCCAAGCGATAAAAAAGAAACCTTTTTCCTGAGAAGTATATTTTTCGAAAACTTATTTGTGAGAAGAAGTTTAAAGAAACTTAGGCCTCCAGGTACACTGTCAACCGAGCTGTCTTATGAATCACCCTGTATATGCACAGATTCGTGTAAATCAATACTGATTGCAAGTGTTTCTTTCCTAAATGCCGAATTGTCTTTGATTTGTAGCCAGGTTAATGCCTGACACCTACAAACCGGTTTCGGGATTTGGCCCTCATCAGTGCAGGGTAGTCAACAGACAGCAGTCCTGAGACCGCCATTTAAGCGAAACCTGACCTAATGAAAATCCAAATCGGCAGTAATCTGCTCAGACTCTGGCCCAAGGCAACATGGAAACAATGATATATGGAGAAATTCCCATCTCGGTGAGAAATGTGAGAGAGTTGATGTATCGTTATCAACATTTCATTCCACTTGGAGCATTTTGGCTTTCTGTTGTTGCTTACTATACCGGACGTCCCAGAGCTTTCAGGCCAGCAAATATATATCTGGGTTATCAACATTCAAAAAAATTTCAAAAGATTGTGGAATATATGGGAGCAAAACCCCTCCGTGACAATGAAATCAAATCACCCCCATGTCGAACAAACTACTAGAAACCACCCCTAACTATTCAACAAAAATGTGATCCTCGGAAAATTCGAATAATTTCAATAATTTTCATGGAAATATATCGATTTTTCCACGATTGATTGTTTGAAATGATTTTTGATCACTTGCCTCATATCGCCTATTCAGACTTGGCGTGTATATAGCTCTGATTTTTCAAGGAATAATAGGGCAAAACAGTATAAAAATCCTGCAAAAGCATTCACTCCTTTATAATTTTGACTATAACGCCATAACGATCATGATGTATAGTCGAATTAAGAAATGAAGAACTGAAAAAAAAACATGGGGGTGCAATATGAAAAATCAAAGTGAGGGGTGGTTTCTAGTAGATAGTTTGAAACAATGGTGATTTGATCTTACTATTTCAGAGAGCTTTTGCTCCCATAAATTTCATAACTTTTTATATATTTTGTATGTTAGATAACCCAGATATCTGCTGGCGTGAAAGCTCTGGGACATCCAGTACAGAATAGGTCCTTTATTACTTCCTAATGATGACGATGATGAGAAGCCATAGTTCAAGTGACAACGGATAATGCATGAAAACTCATTTACTGTTGTCATTCGAAACTAAGGCTTCACATCACCTTCATCCTTATATGGATTTTTTCGGTTGTAAAACCGATGAAAAATTGCGACTACTATCTGTATTACTTTGAACTATTCCCTTCATTTCAACAAAGTATTTCATCAACTCCAGATCTTTAATGTCTGTGTTATGATTGTTGATGCATCTAATTCGCTTTACAATTTGCAATAAGATGTTATCCGCACCTAGTCTCAATGTATCTCCTAATTTGACCTACAGATTTTCATATGAATTTCGCTAATTCTCGGTTTTCTCAAATGTGTGTACTTCGTTCCCTAATTTGGATTCTAAATGACCAAAGCTTTAATATCTGGAAATTTCATAAATTCCTTTTATATCTTTAGTTTGTGATAAAATCAAAATAATACTCTTTGAACGGGCAAAAATAATTCCAGAAAATCTTCTACCTCTCCGATAAACCTATACAGACTGAGTTCAATGATAATGGTCTATTACCGCCAACTCAAACTACGCACCTTCAAATAGAAAGGTTTATGCAGAGGACCCCAAGTCGAAATGGATTTGGGTATGTTAAGGTTGTTGGAGGAGACCTTAGAGAAATTGCGAATGTGAGGGAGGGTGCAAGTGTTGGGTTCCGGGTCAGGGGTGGGATTTGGGGGAGCGGTTTTTATCATCCGAGACAGAGTAGCAGCCATGTTGGCCGATGTAGAGGTGGGCACAGGGGTTTTGCACGCCCGATTTACGCTGGTGCAACTCCGCGAGTTCCATTCGCGCTGCAGCTGCAACAAAAGTTCACCTTCACCTTGGAGTTGTTAATGAAGCGGAAGCGTTATTCGTGCCACGGAGAGTGCGAGTGACATGCTGACAGGTACACAATGCCGCACCACCACAACTAGGGTTGCCAACTGTTAACACTTTGAACAAATTTCTTTGAAACAAGGTAAATGATTAGTTTTCGCTAAAATGCGATTTTCGCTTATTTGAAAAATAACTGGTTTTGATGCAACTTCATTTTTCACTTATTGTCCTATTTCCATGGTAAATTTAATATTTTGATGAAATCTGTGGATGTTTATGAATTAATCTCGCTCCAGGTTATCTATGAAAATTTCAGCAGGTAAAGGGCTCAATAGGTCTCACATAATCAAACCTTGTGCAGCGGAGTATATTTCAATCGAGAGTGATTTTGCTCAAGGTCCGAAATCGGTTATTCAGAGACGTTAGATTTTCATCTTATACTTCCTCAACTGAAATTAAAGTATCTTCTGAAGGTATATACGGTAGGAACAAAGTTGTGTTCATCAAATGAAATTAGTTTTGTGTTATCAGGAATAGTGATATTTTGAATGTTCTTTATTAGGTCGTAGGGATTTCATAAACTAAATTGTGGATGAATATTACAATAGTTTTCAATCAACGTTTTCAGTTTTTCTTGTATTTTTATTGATGGGGAGCACTGGCGAATGAATCACCAAGAAGTTTGAAGCTATGAGTAGGTATTTTCTATAAATGACTTTTCTGTTCGTGGAATCTGTTTCTGAAAAATTTAGGAATCTATCGAAAAATGTATGATCAGTAAATTTATGTATATTGTGTTGTGAATTGAATTTCTGTTATAATTCATGGATACAGTTTACTTCTTTGAATAAGATATTTCAGTTTACTTCTTTGAATAAGATATTTGCTATAAATGTTATGGTTAACATGATATCTGCTACTACGAATTCTATTGTTGTAATCGGAAAGTTAAATCAGTATGAATTACATTATGGTGTAGGTTATCAAACATGTCGTCTTATCGAAAATGTTGTGAAAATCTTATTGGTAAAGTTTTTCAGATTTAATATTGATTTTCATCAAGTAACGGTGGAGGCAGCTCAAAAGATAAAATAAATAATTTTGATCATTTTAATCAATATAAAGACCCACCCTCAAATGAAATTCGGCACAGCAGGCACAGAAAACAGATATCAAACCATGCCTATAATTAAACAGGGAGGAATTTCGAGAAGTGAATTGAAAGAATCGATGTTTTTTTATTATCTACTAGTTTTTTTTTTAATATATGCATCAAAACCGAAAAAAATCATACGTACTATCCACCTTCCCAAAGTTGGCAACCCTAACCACAACACTATAGTTAGTAAGCTGGTATGTTCTTTCAACTTTTTTTTGGAAAAAAATTACCTTTTTCTATAACTGTGGTAGTCGGTAGTCAAGAATGTTTTGTACCCTATTTATTCAATTTATGAAACTCCTCTTCAGTAACCGTTAGATTTTTGGACACAAATGGGAGGAAATGGTTCGAAATATCAGAAAATTTTGTAGCTGCCAATCTACAAGCTCACAACGCAATGTCCAACCTTTGATTATCTCTCATATACAGGGGAGGAATAATTTGCAGTAGCACGTGGGTAAAATAAAGTACCTTGATTTTCCAGGATACATATAATAGATATTTTTATACCACCGATTAACAAAGTAGCTTTTGACGCTTTGAAAATCTCAGCACAAAATTTAAGTTTTCCATGAACCTATTATTGCATGATGAAAAACACTGTCATTGAACTCGAACATTACATGATCTCTTGGTGTAGCAGAAAGTACGACAGTTGTAACTTTGAATCCTCTATGCTCCTACCGGAGAATTCATGGAAGAAATATGAATCATCAGTTGGTTCTCCTTCAAGAAGGTGAATAAATATTCAGAGAACTTGTTACTGGCTTATTTTTAGAGTAAATCAGACTCTGAAGTCATTGAGGTACAGTTTGAATCATACTAACAAATTCTTTGTAATCAGAGAAGCAATATTTGCATTCCTTGGATCGATAACAGTTTGTTATGTGACTATAATTATACAGGATGTTTCAGACTTAAATCTACATATGATACCTTGCAGATAGAGGACACTTTAATGGTTTCAAATTACCCCTCATTGATGAGTCTACCCTCTTTTATAACTGGGATACAGGACGTCATCTTGATTTTGGCAAAATTTTCATCGAGTAATCATTTTTTAACCACTTTATAAAATCTATTCATACTTGGTAGAAATATTCCACTTATATTACACATCAGAACAAAATAAAAATCGAGATCAGAATCCAGGTCCACCTGAAGAGGAAAAAAAACTTTTTTATTCCAAAAACAACACTCTGTATGGCAAAATTTTGTGGATCTGTTTCTATATTTTGAAAGATCGGGAAAAATTGAATAGTGACCTACTTTTTACGAGCGCGCATCCAATTCGACAGATGGTTTATTATTATGTTTTGAAATTGGTATTCAGCTCCAATTATTGGAGGCATTCTTATTGAATTCGTTATTCAAAATCCAATTTTGATAAAAAAAAAACAAGTTTTCAAACAACATTACAAAATTCAACATTAGAGTCAAATTAGGTGAACTATGTTCGTTTGACATGCAGAATAAATTGTCAACGGTTTTAGAAATTTTCTAGGACTAATTTTATTCATCACAATTTATTCATAAGCTGCGGTAAAGTAGGCTGTGCAAAAAAATGTCAAATTCTGACAGTTCATAATCACTAGTGAGATATCATTGGTAACGTTAAGATTATTGTGTTATGGCATAATTATGAACACTATGAAATGTAACAACCCAATACAAGCACCAACAATTATCTTGACTTTACCAATAATATCACAGTAGTGATTATGAACTGTCAGCATATCAGATTATATTGCACAGCCTACTTTACCGCAGCTCATGAATTAATAGTAAATAATAAAATGAGCCCCGAAAAATGTCTGAAACCTAAGGAAAGGTATTCTGCCAAACAATCAAATCTATCGATAGTTCACCTAATTTGAATTTCATGATGTTAAACATTGAAGACTGTTATTTTATGTTAAAAATATTTGGATTTTGAATTGATATTTCAATAAAAATGCATCAAAATGAAGTAGTATCTGTCAAATCGGATGCGCGCTAGTTTAAAGTGGGTCACTCTATTCATTTTTTCCCGCTCTTTTGAAATATCGAAATAGATCTTCACAATTTTGCCATACAGAGTGTTTTTTTGACATTAAAAAAGTTTTCTGTTTTTTCTCAGGACAAGCCTGGATTCTGATCCCGCTTTTCATCAAGTTTTGATGGCTAATATAAGTGGAATATTAATACTAAGTATGGATAGACCATACAAAGTGTTTCAATAGTTATGACCAGATGATTTCCCCAAAATCAAGATAACGTCCTGTATCTCAGTTATAAAAGACAGTAGAACCATCAATGGGGGGTGATTTGAAATCATCAAAGTGTTCTCTATCTACAGGTATCGTATGTACATTTAAATCTGAAACACCCTGTATAAGTAGCCGTATGGTCTAAGGGCCTGAAGAACAACTTATCAATCGACTGGTCCGGGTTCAATCACGGGCAGGCTGGTATTTTCTTCATATTGTCATTTTCTTTCTGGTTTGATTCTTGTTGATAACTGCGTTCGTAGAAAAAAAATCTTATGGCATTCCGAGCACAGTATTAATGACGTTCTCTAAAATAAAACCGCACTCCGCTTGACGTCGCGCGGTAGCTCTCTTTGTCAAGCGGCAATCCATCACGGATGACACAAAGTTTGTGTATTTAGAAGGATGAGTTTGAAAAGGGTGATTGAAATTTACCTCGAAGACTTCAGAAGTCTTTGATGTTTCCACAAAATAAACCAGTAACTAGTTTTATGAATATTTATCCACTTTCTTATAGTGGCATCAATCCATGAATGACTATTTTAATCCATATCCCTTTCTTGAAAAATACAGGGTGTCCCAAAATTGCTGTGACATAGAACTACCACGTGTAATACAGTTCAAAATAAGTTGATTGGACCCAACTTATTTATATAAACAAATGTACCGTTTGTCCGTGAGACCAGTTCAAAGTACGAAGTACATGAAAAACCATATTTTTGTGCGCTGTTGAACAATGAGTGAAACAAATTGAATGAAATTTGACGAAAGTGCATTTCAGAGGACCCTTCTTTCAGATATCGAAGAAACGTGAAAGAATTTGAAGACGGGTTTGAATCACCCTCACCCCCTGACATTTTTTTCAGAACGTTCTTAGAGGTGGTAATAGGGTTCTCATATTTTTTGAGCAAGATGATTGAATTATTATCTTCATTTTGGACCTGTTGTGAAAATTTCGTATTCCGCATAGTTCCGAAGGAAAAAAATGTTTCCTCAAATAATGCTTACAGATATTCCTAGTTAAAGTTTGATAAAACGAATTGACATTTGTATTGATGAAGGTGGGCGTCATATTGAATATTAATTTGAAAAAAAAACGTTCTGTCTATGTTTGTACTGACAACAAAATTTTTCATTATAATGATATTCAACTTTTACTAGGAATATCTGTTAGCATTATTTGAGAAAATATTTTTGGGCAAAATGAAGATGATGAATTAGTCATCCCGCTCAAAAAAATTGAGAACCGTATTACCACCCCTAAGAATGTTCTGAAAAAATGTCAGGGGACGAGGAAGGTTCCAATTCTTCAACAATTTCTTCTAGATTTCTTTGATTACCGAAAGAAGGGTAACCCTCTAAAATGCACTTTTGTCATATTTCACCCAATTTGTATCACTCATTTTCGGATAGTGTACAAAAATGTGTTTTTTTATGTGAACTTTGAACTAAATGAATTGGGTCCAATCAACTTATTTTGGCTTGTATTATACGTGGTAGCTCTGTGTCCCAGCAATTTTGGGACATCCTATATTTTCAATGTTACAACTTTGGAACTTGCCCGGCAAACATA